AGTGGATTTATATTCTTCACATTTCATTTATGCTCCTCATATATTTCATTTTTCTAATTATTCTTTTATGGTGTTAATATATATTTTTTTATTAAATCGAAATGTTTCTGTAAGTAATAAGTACAAGAACAAGAGCAAACGCCGAAAAATGATAAACAGTTGCTAGCGCGAGGCTTAGCCGCTCGCGCTAGCCGCGTACGCTATGCCTATGTTGAAAGAAAGAGATAGTAGACATATCTCTGTTCTCTCCTACTGCCCGAAGACGGTCGAAGCGTCGAGCGCACTTGTACACGGCTGCTTGCGTGTGTGCGTATTCCCTCCACTTGCTGCAGCGTGCTGTAAGAGAGTCAAAACTGGGCACACTGCCGGCAAGTGCCATTTATTGCAAATCGATCGCACTTACTCGCCCCGCTTTGACGTCCTCGGCGGCGTGCGTTCGCTCGTCCGCGACAAACAATACCCTCGCTACAGGGATTAATTATATGTTGCCGGTGGCAGCGTATAAATCACACAATTAATTTTCCGCGGTTTGCTTCATGTTTGCGGCGTCGACACACGTACGCCGGTATCACGGACGGAACCGGATTACAAAAGAGAATTGAACTAATCTCCGGAGAGAAGACGTCGCTTTTGAAGACGCGCACTTCTCGAAGTTCTGAAAGAGTACGGTGGACGTACGAAGCTATTACCGTGATTCGACTTCGGTTGTTCGCTGGTAATTGGAAAGCGAATACATATTGTCTTTTCTAATTTTTTTTTTTTATTAGTTAGCGATTATAATAAAATCCATATAAATGTAGATTTGTGCGGAGAAGCGTGTAAGTTGACGTGCTCGATTAATTAATTTTGCACTTTTTGGTTTCTTCCATTGTCGCGACATTTATTCGCTGATCACACCGCGAAACAAACAACGGGGTTATCAACTGGCGGAATAATCGAGCTCTTTGTGCTGCGCGTTTATTGAGAGAATTAGAGTATAGCGACCGAACGCATCCGCATCGAGAATCAACTGGCACGTTTATGTGTGTAAAGGCAACAACGGGAGTAGTTGTTTATCGTTTTACTTCGCCCTCCAGTTACATAATGTAACGAATCAACAATGCCTGGTTTGATACGCTCACGCATAAATTCATCGGACTCGCCCAGCAATGTTAATATTGTTATCATCGTTTTGCAAAATACGGAGCGAGCAATCGGGAGAGGCTTGATATTCTCCGCTCATCTCCCCTTTCCTCTCTCAACCGTTCTCACGCCCTTCTGCTTCCGCGACAACCCCCTCGCGCGTTCGTGGTCGCAGCCGCAATTCTCGCGCTATATTTCTCTTCTTCCGCTGTGGGAGTGCGTCGCGATTTATTGGCCCGAAGTGCTGTCCGTACTTTCCGCCGGTAAAATCTAATTGGAAAACCATCGCGCGCACGAAAGCGTCTCACCTGCCGAATCGTGTATCGCGGAAACACCGCGCGCTCGTCGCATAAAGGATTTAGACTGGCTTTTATTTATTGATTTTTTTTTCGCCTCCAAAAACGTTGATTTTGTCGACGATTTACTTTTTTACCCGCGACAGCTACACGCGTGCATGTCTTGCGTAAAACGATTATCGCATAATGGATTGTTTCTTGCTGTTGTTGTTTGTTTGTTTTCGCGCCAAGATGCGCGTATATCGATTAGTGTTCTTGAGTCGCGCGATCTCCCGGCGAATATTCAAACTTTAAAAATGAGTTTACGAAACATCTCTTTTTGTTTACACAATAAAGTTTTAAAGCACGTTCGCTAATCGCGTTGCTTTTTTTTTGTTTAATTTAAGAATAAAGCGAAAAACGTAATTGTTTTTGTGTTTCTGTCGCGGAATGTGTTGAAGTGGAAAAAACAGCGGGTGATTTAAAACTAGAATACTTTGAGAGGCTGAATAAATGCTTTACTTGTGTTTTAATACGGATTGAATAAAGCTGTTAGCTGCGCTTTAGTTTGCTCGGACAAAGCTTTAACAGGTTTTTTTTTTTTTTTTTTTTAACTCGCTCTCCGAAAACGTGTTGATTTTGCAACGACTACTCTTTCTTCGTTCACGTTGTACGTGCGCAACTTGAAATATCGCGGGAGCAGATTGAACATTTCTATCTCTGTCTCTCGTTTTTTCCCTTCGTCGATGCAACGGCACGTAATCGACCGCACGCGAGGCGCCGATGTCGCAATAAAGTCAAAGTTGTCTTTGAAACATCGTATTAACAAGCTGAAAATGCGAAAAAGATATCTCTTTGAGAACGACAGAATCTTCCATTCGGGAGAAAAATTCTACGCGGCACGCTTTAAAAACCGCGTGCAAGATTTCTATTTAAAAACTTACCGCCGCGAATATCGCGTTTTAAGTGATAAAGATGAGCTTTCGCGTAGCTTTTCGTACAAATGGGCGAGTGATGAAAAGTGGATTACGCGGACTTTTCGCGGCGGCGGCGCGCGCTGGTTAACAGAAATAATATTCTTTTATGTTAATAGAGGCGAGAGGCGTCTATTACACAAGTGAGAAAAATCCAAAAATGCGCGTATAGTAACTGAACTGTTTTCGAAATAATATTGAAATTCATCGCGTTCGATCTGTCGTATATATCTATTGACTTCGCGCGATATTGTCAGAACGCGACGACACGATGGTTGATCGACATGTTTTATATCTGTGCCGCACATCGTGCGCAAGTTAAAACTATGAGCTGTACACATCGCTCTTGTATTCGCGCGCGATAACTGTAGCCGCTGCTGCGAGTTGACGTGGGAAAACATTGGGTCGAGTTTTAACGGGGCAAGCGACGGTTTTTTTGAACGTTTAGATTGTCAAGATAAAGAAGGAATCTTGTGTATGTAACGGCAAACGCACCGCTTTGCGGAGTCGCGATAAAACTCCGAGATTAAAGGCGCCATCATCGCGCGGACGTGAAAATTCTTGCCGCTTTACTACGTAATTTACAGTCGCTTTTTATTAAATACTGAGAATATCACCCTGTGGCTTGCTGTATTGCGCGTTTACGCGCCCGCGCTCTGTGTCGTTGTAATGCGGCGCGGTCACGGTTATTTTCGCAAGAATATGTATTTTCGCGCAAACGCCATGCTAACGCGCTCCATCGCGTATTTATTAAGCGTAAAATAGACGGCGGTTATAATTTCTGTCACCCGGTGAATAATGACGTTTATATACCGGCGTTGTATATTCGGGATATACGATAATTTACTTTATTTGCATGTGTGTGCGTATTGCGCGCGATGTACTCTTCTTTGACCTTGCCGCAGCATCGCAATATTATTCGCCGTTACCATATTTTGTCAAATTAGTTTTTACATCACAACGATATTGAGATGAAATATCATGTGCTTATTACTCCCGTGTAAAATACTTTCGCACGGGAAGTACTGTTTTTTTTTTTTTCGTCAAAACGTCACAGCTTCAGAAGTATATTTGCTCTTACATGCATACAAAATAAATGTATTCTATATTCGCGTAACAGACGCGCACGGAAAAAGAACGCGCGTACGATTTCTTCTGAAATCGTCGCGCTAACGAGTTTCAAATATTCAACGTTGAAACACATCGAAGCGTGTTAGAACGGCTCACCGCCATTTGCCGATATCACAAAAGAATTATTTATGCTTGTTTTGCGCGAGTATATACAGGATGTTTGGTAATTATCGGAACACCGCTCGTAGACAGGTAGAAGGGGTTATTCTGAGTCGAAAATTCCTATACCACTTTGCAAGATTTGCAATAATTAACGAGATGTTAATTAATAAAGATCGTGCGTAAATGATAGCTCGGCGTTTCGCGCGCCGTAGCAACGAAATAGAAAGAGCTAATATAATAGCATGTGATATACATAAACAACACATAATATACATAAAAATCAATAACTTACGACAACTAAACGCGAAAGCATGGACCTTGTATTTTTTTCATCAAAATAAATAAGTCTAATGTCAAGATGTGTTAAAAATGAATTTTTTTTTTAATTTATGTAGTTATTTATTTACGGGAAGATAAAAAAAACCATAGAAGAAGAACAAAATTAGAAAAGTTACATTTCATTGCAAATATTATTGCACTGTTGATTTTATAAGTTTTTTATTTTTCTTATATTCTAAAGTTTACATACAACAAATATTTAATTATTGTAATAGAAGAAATTAAATGTTTTTGTATTTTTTATGGAATTCTTCTAATAAATAAATAAATAAATAAATATTATTGACATCTTGCTGTTTTTCTTTAATCACATATATATGTAATATCGAGATGTTAATAATAATTATTATATCATTTATTTATTTATTTTATTTATAAAAAGAACCTCACAGAGAAAAAATTAGAAGTTACTTACAAATATTATAAATATGTATTGATGATGCAACAATGATTTTCTTGCTTGTTTCTTTTCTTAAAAACATTTAAATAATATTATGTACGTAGATAACGTGTGTATTTTTAAAATAAACTTTTGAGAAAATATACACCTGTCTACGAGCGATGTTCCGGCAATTATCAAACATCCTGTATATATATGTATGTATAAATGTATGAGAGAGTATGTATATCGTTAAGCATTCAATTGAATTCTGAAAGGTTTGCCGTATAAACAATAATTTTTATCGAATTAGTCGCGAATGACTTGGTAACGTTTCAATCACCGAAACGTGATGTTTGACGTTCATCGCAAAATGCGCATGTGTGATCGAGCGGAAGATACACACAATGAGAATAGGGTTTCGTTGACTGATCGCGCTATATATACATAGTATCGAATTTTAATTGGCGTGGTTTGAATATTTTTTTACAGACCTTGAAACTTCAGCTATGCGTAAATGTGTTTTGTATGTATGTATGTGCACAGCGACTGTTTCTTCTTCATGCATGCGAGATGTATGTACGAGCTGCGAGTACATTCGTTCGCGTATACATACGGCACGCAATCTGCCGTGCGCTTCGCGCATATGTTATAACGTGTGTGCCATTTCGTTTTGCCCGATATTGACTGTGATTCTTCTTTGTGAAAAAAAAAGCGAGTCAAAACGACATTTTTAAGTTGCGCGGAATTGCGACAGCGATAAGATAAGAATAAACTCGCAAACGTCGTGAATAAAAATACAATCGTGAAGAATTTACAATTTACATGAAGATCTCTGTAACCGCAAAAAGGGGAGACTAGTTGACGAGAGAGAGAGAGCTTTGTGAGACTGGTTTAAACTTGGATGCGAGTTTCGCCGCCGTTTCTTGGCGAGTTTTTGACATTTTCACGTCAGGTGCGAAACGTAAAAGTTACCTTACTGAGAAAAGTAGGAGCCAACTTTTAACAAGTACGAAACTGTAACAGAGCTTGCGGCTTGAAATAGCCCGATTGCGTGTGTAAAACTATAGTGAGAAACTGAAAGCACGCTTTTAATGATTCCAATTAAAGATAGTTTACATAAATAATAGGATTCTATGTTTTTCTTGTGGCATCACGAACGGATGCGCAAAAGAAAAGAATTGGCCACGTTGCATGCTAAATAATCTCTTTCTGTGTATGTATATATATATATAGTATATATATTATATATATATTATATTTTTTATTTATTATATATAATCTTTAATCGTATTTTATTATAATAATTATTATTGTACACAGTAGGAGTATAATTGTGCAAATTTGTTCTTTCAACTTATTTTTTCGAATTTTTTACCAACTGTTCAGTTCTCAGGATTTTTTGTTTTAGAGAATATGTTCAAAAAACTGTTTCAAACATTGAACGCAGTTTGTCGGTTGGACGCATACATTGCTGATTAAATGTAAAAACATATATACCTGTCTCTCGCAAAAGATTGAGCCTTTACCTGTTTTTTTTTTTTTTTTTTTTTTTTTAGATGAAAAATAGTGTGCATCTCTCGGAAAAGCATTTAAAAAAACAACGTTCATATTTGTCTTTTGATGTAAAAAAAACGTTCCGTAGAACGTATTACTTACCAGAACTTTTCCTCCAACATCTCCGAATACTCCGATCGGTGGCATCTCCTTGGGGATATATCGATAAAATTCCTGGCCCTTGTACCATTTGACGGTGTACAGGTCATCGTTTTCTAGGTCGTATCTACAATACATGTTAACCGTCGTGCCTGCTGCTACTGCCAATGGAATCTCGATCGACACATTCTTGAGCCCATAAATTCCTAGAAATCAAGATGAAACGAAGGTAAATTTACCGCCACGTAATTTAATTGCCCCTAATTGAGAGAGAAAATAAATATTTTACTTATTACTCTAAATTTATTTGTATAATATTACTGAACATTTTGTGTTTATCGTACAATTATTGTTGCGTGTAATATTTGATACACACTGAGTAAATAAATTGTAGGCAGATTTTGATAAATTTTATTTAACGTCAAAATATAAAATATGTACAAGTTGTTGCATTAGTTTAGCGTTATAAACCTTTCTAAAAATTATATGGTACATTTTATATGTTTTGTGAAAACATATAAAATGTACTTTTTGCAAATTTAATTCAGTGTTTATCGATAGCAGCAGAACATATTCTGTTAATATTAATGACAAACTTCAAGCTTGCGATCAATCGTAAAATATTTATATTAAATATTTGTATAACTCTGTATTTTCTGCGTAAATATAGTAAATATATAGTTCCTGTATTAATTCAAGTGTTTCTGTATACTAATTCATAATTTCTACATTTATATTTCTACATTACGCTTTTTTTTTTAATTCACATTAAGTATTTAAAAGTGGCGTTTAAAATCGCATTTCAAGTGACATTTATCATCGAATGCGTCTTTTACTGCGTATTTCATCGGCGCATAAAACGTCGACAAACTTGCATATACGAAAATCAATATCCTCTCTGAACTACCTGTTATTTATTACAAACTAAGAAATAATGCTCTTGAATTTAGACTAATTAAGTGTCGTGCAGGAATGTTAATCCTTGTAATTCTCTTCTAGTTGACTTTTATATATCAATAAGATAATAATTTATTGTTACAACATAAATCTAGATAAATGAATGTCTTATTTGATTTTAGCTGCGTTCCGATATTTACTGCCAATACTGGAAGTCTGTAATATATATTATGTCACGTGAATTATAGATTTTCAATATTGACAGTAAATAACAATACGCAATCCTCATCTCGTGTTATTGTTTGTCAGAAATGATTTTCTAAGAAACAAGGAAAACATGTATCACTTTTTAATTAACTATTTGTTTGTTTTCTCAACGACACTATGAAGATAGCGATCATTCTAGTATGTCTATATGCTGTCTACATCGTTGATTACAGCGTGAGGTTTTTCACCGCGAAAGAAACAGCGTGTTTTCCCGTCATTTAAATAATTGCATCGAAAAATTTTATCTCGCTCCGAGCGTAGATTAAATAAGACAGTAACAGTTTCGAACAACAGAGAAACAACTTTGTAACCAGAACTCAAGTCCTCGAACCAAGAACCACTTATTTTTTTCTTCTCTTTTAAAAAAAGCGAGTTGCGCAAGATGCTTATCTTATAATAACTTAAACGAACAAGTGCTCAAACTTTCTGCGTAATCCTGCCAACGCGCTATCGTCAACGCCGCTCGCTCCCGAGGAGATTACAAGCGGCGAACGAGAAGGGCGTTTTGCCAAAAAACACTCGGGAAAGATCGCAGCAAGTAACGTCACAGCCGTGGACTTTTAAGCATCCATTTGCGCACTCGCCTAGATCGAGTTTGAAAACTTATTACTATCAGAATGTAGTATTTTTGCCGCTGTCGCTGCATTATTTATCAGACAGGTTCTTAATTAGCTCTTGCGTGATCGGATCTTTATTAGAAAATTATTAATTATTATTTAAATAATTATCTTTCTCTCTCTCTCTCTCTCTCTCTCTCTCTCTCTCTCTTAATTAACAATTGATAGGAAAAAAATAAATCTACAACTCGCGGTTTATTTAATCATATAATTCACGAGAGAAAACTGTTTTATACACGCAAGACAGTCTGCGATTTACTGGGTGGTCTGTTATGACTTAATTAATATGTATGCAGAGTCCACGCTTCGGGCGTTTAGCGGTACAAAGTATTAAACATGTTAAGGGGTTGTCAGCACTGTGTATGACCGAAAAGCGTTCCACACAGAAGCGTTTGCCGACGTCGTGTTACCGTGACGTGCGGCGGAAAATTTCCGGCCCTTATCAGCGTGGCGCCGCGAGAAATCTGCGCTGCCACTCACCCCCGTCATCATTGTTCCGGCTTAAACGAGAAGAAAAATTCTGAAAGCGAGAGAGAGAGAGAGAGAGAGAGATTGTATATTTCGCACGAGTTTGCGGGATCAGCGACACCGGATCAGATGCGAAGCGTGCCGTGGACTAGCTGCGGCGGACTAGCGCAAAAGTTTGGTCATTAATTAACCGTTTTTCGGCACATCCCCCGCCTCAAATTAATTATTTATGACTCAAACCGCCGGTAGTCATTGTGCTGATAAAGTAATTAAACGATAATTAATCCGAAAAGCAATTAATCGGGAAAATAGAAGAGGGCGGGGAATGAAGAGAAAAGGGGAGGGGAAGAAATGTCATGGCTCTCGCGCGCGTGGCAATAAAATGCTTCGTATAAACGCGTTATTTGTATTTTGCATAATTGCGACTTTTAAATCGTATGGATTACCATTTCGCGTGTTGCGATTATTAAATTATAACAAGAGTGTCTGAACAATATACGAATGGTCACACACGTAGCGCGTTCTAATAAAAACGTGATATAACGTGAAAGAAAAATAAGTATCGTCGTTACGACGAACGAGGCAAATTCTTTATATCGCTCTTTTCCTCGCGTGTGCGGCTTTTAATTACTGCTTAATAATTGACGTCATTAGGCAAGTTCTCTCCCGGTTCCCTCTGACGGAACATCTCTCTCGGCAAAGCAAAAGTTTTTTACTTACACAGAAACGCCGCGCGTCTCCTTATCACTAATCACCGCGCGCAGTTTTGAACTTGTCCGTATTAGAAGAGCGATGCGTAATTAGAGTCGTTAATTGGAACGTCTGTGTGCCGCCGCTCTCTCCGAGAGAGTTTCGACGTTGTAAAGCCTTACGTGTGTAATCAGTTGTTTAGGGGGATGGGGGGAAGGGAGGATTGCGACCCCCCGACGAAGCGCGCGGCACGGATGCAACACACAGATCGCAGCGAGATTTAAATACCGCGCGCGTTCGCTAATCACCTCGCTAATCCTTAATTACCCGCGGCAGTTTGCGCCGACGATGTCGACGATCGCTTCGTTCACGGCTCGCTTCGTTCGTGATGCCTTCCGTTTTCGGAAAACGAGAGGCGAGATCTTTCCATAAATATATGGCATCAAAACAATGCGAGATGGCGCGAAGCTCTTGCGAACGTGTATCGGACATTGTCTTAAAGTTATATCGCGAGAATAATGGAGCTGCGCCACGCGAAAACTCGAGATTCACTATTTGCGGTCAAGATCGCGCGTCCGTTTTCGTGAATTAATAAAATTGCGGCGGCTAAGCGATAAGTACGGACAACACCGTACAAAGCGCGTGGCGAACCGCGCGCGCACCGAATATATTCCGGATAATATCAGTCGTACACGTAAAAGCAAGCAACAGATTGAAAGCCTCTTGCGTTAATCGGCTAATAAAGGCTGTAATAGCGGGACGAAATAGAGTGCGGCTACGTTACACACGCTCGCTGTATCTCTATCATCGTGTACACATGTACGTATAGCGCGCGCTATACGGAGCTAATCAAGCGCTCAAAACACGCGCGGCCGTTAAGTCATCAATCAAAGTGTGTTGCAAGAGGATAGTAATACAAAAAAACAAATATAAAATCACAAATAACGTCGCAAAAGTTGACTAACGATATAACTCGTCGTAAAAAAAAAAAAAATGTAGAACAAAGTAAAAATATAAAACAAACAAGACAGATAAAGAGATAGACGTTATATCCTCTTGTTTCCCGGGCGCAAAAAAATCGAAGCGCGGTTGCCATGGAAACCGTGTTCTTTTCAGAGTGCAAGCGCGCACACTTGAATCCGCGAAGGTAATCCTAAACTCTTAATTGCGGCGTAATTACTTATACGCTCGCCGATGTGCGAGCGAAGAGTTCTCGAGAAACCTTTTGCGCATTATGCATATCCACGGCCAGATACCTTACGGCCATGAAACCGGAAAAGCCAAAGGCGTAAAAGAGAGCCCCCGCATGCTCTGAAATGAGATCCCCCTTTCTTCGTTCGAAAACTCAACTAAATGAAAATCCCATCCTTGCCGGGATAGGGAGAAACGCCCGGCCGTATAGAAGCTTTTATTGTTTCATGAAAAGACGGAAAACGCGCACGCGCAGATGGGAGAGAGAAGGAAAAAAGATATTGAAAATACGCATAGCAAAACCTTTTACCTCTCTCGGTGAGATTCTTTTTCTCTCTCTCTCTCTCTCTCTTTCTTCCTCTCCCCCCCTCTTTTGCCGATCGGTACGTATATCGGATGAATAAAAGCGCGCGCGCGCGCGAGCCACGGACTTTTCCACGTTTTAGAACTTATTTAACAAGCCGCCGGCGCCGTATTCTGAAAATTTATACGAGCTCGATCGGGATTCGCGGACCGAGATTTTCTCTCTCTTTCTTTCGCGAACACTGCGAGAGAAGTTGCGCGATTAATCTAAAATCCTATTAATGAAATCGGTTAATATGTGATACGGAAACTTTAGTTTTGTATCGTCAAAATATCAAGTTTGCGCAGCCACGTCGGGAATACGTAAAATGATTACGCCTCAAGGCGGTGCGTGTACAAAGTGATCTTTTCCTGGACCAAAGCTTGCCTCCGAGGCAATGTAAAGTTCCATTACGTAAAACGCTCCTCACATTCGCCGCGCAAATTGCTGGCTCATGACGATTCTGTTGTGCGCAATCCGTTGCAGTCCATTTGCGATCGACAGATGATACGAGAGAGAGAGTGAGAGAGAGAGAGAGGGGGGGAAGGGGAAAGGGGAAAGGACGCGATCTTTTTAATCTGAGAAATGGAAGCGACCATTTACGATCAACTCCGAAGGTGTTATATCGAGCATCGCGTCGATACGGCTCTAATTTTCCCGTAAAAATCGAGGGAAATTATTTGGCGTTCGAAACCGAATCTTTTAAACTTTCAACGCCTACAACGATCGAAAA